ACATCTGTCACTTTAATTATGCTCTCTATATTTTAATGCTTTCTTGTTATCTTTTATCTTTTTTGCCTTTAGATGAACTGTATCCATTTGCTTTTATCTTTTATCTATGATTTATAAGGTTAACGCCCTATTTTAAGGATAATCTTACATGATTATCTTAAAACATTAAAATTCTTTTTACTTAATTATGCCAACAATAACTATTGACTTCCTTTGACGGAAATCAAAAAAAGCTAAAACTGATGACATCTTTGTTATTTCCCTTTCATATTTTTCATTATACTAATCTGGAGTTTAAAATCACCTTAAAAAAGAAGACTTTCTTTTTATATTTACATGGAGTATTTTACTTTTGTTCCCATAATTACCTCTAATTACTTAATTTCCCTATTTTTATTGCTTAGTAATTTACAGATTTGTATTTTGTTTTTTATTGTATTTATCCCACAATTTTAGGTAGATTCGGTGATTAGAGCCACTTTTTCTCAATCATAACCTCCCTAATGAAGAATGCAATTGCTTATTCATCTCTTAATTGTTCAGAGAACATTTGTAATGTGTCTTACTGGAAAACAGACTTGAGTGGTTAATGTTCGAAGAATTTGCAGATCTAATAATGACCTTATCTTGCCTTTTTAAAAGAATAAGCCTTTGGCTGGGGATATAATATTTTAGTCTCTATCTCATAGGGAAGTACAAAGCTGCGGGTAACAAAAAAATCACAATTACAGGCGCTTATTTTTCTCATGTAACAAGAAGTGTATGCGATTGCTGGCTTTGGCTCAGCTGCCAATATGGCCATCACATCTGTGGTAGACAGAATGATGGTCCCCAAAGGCATCTATCTGCATCTTAATTCTTGGAATCTGTTATGTTAGTTTACAAGGTAAAGGGGAATTAAGGTTGCAAATGAACTGACCTTGAGAGGGAGAAATCACCCTGGATTATCTGGGAGGGCCCAATGTAATCACAAGGGTCCCTATAAGAGATGGTGGGAGGCAGAAGAAAGGAAGATAGAGAAAGCTATGAGTTAAGGAAAGCAGTGGCCTCTAGAGGTCGCCCTAGGAAAGGAAGGGGTAAAGATTTTTGCTGGAGCCTCCAGAAGGAGCACAGTCCTGCCTACACTTAAATTTTTGAGCCCAGTTAGATACATTTTGTACTTTTGACCTCCAGAACTGTAAGATAGTACATTTGTGTTGTTTTCAGCCACTGTTTTTTTTGGGGGGGTGGCAGGCGGGGGGGGATCATCGATAAGAAACCAGTGCAATGTCCAAGGGATGGTTACAAAGCAAGACAAAGGAGATGGGGTCACGTCAGCCAAATCTGTGTCTTTTTTTATCAGAAATCCAGAAGTGACCCCAGCAGAATTCTGTTTTCTTCTGGTGAAGTAGCACTAGGTCTGATATTGACTCCTAACTGTAAGAAAGGCTGGGAGTTGGGGGGGCAATTATTTAGCTCCTCGGCCTCAACGTTTGGGGTTGCCAAGTTGAAGAATTGAGAATGGTTTTTCAGAAGCTGATCGAGTGTTTTATCTCTTTCTTCTGAAAACTCTGAAGGTATTATTCATTAATCAGGGCCCCAGAGAAAAAATCTGAATGCATTTTTATTTTAACTCTTGTAAACTCTGTGTTTGTGTAAACTTGCAAGGTACTGACTGAAAAACTTTACCAGAATATATCTTGGCATTGATTTCTGCGGATCGGTTTTACTTAGAAGATGGTGAAATCTCTAAATTTTTAGACTCACGACTTTTTTAGTTAGTTCAGTTATGTAATAAATGTCATGTACATGCTTAATATGGGCCAGATATTAAAATATTTTAAGTTTTGTCTTTTTTCCTTTTATGTATTTGATCTGTCTTCTCATTCTAAAATTATTGTCATTTTAAGATTGCAATTCCTTATTGTATTTTTCAGACCTTTTACCTTCTCCGCTATTTAAAAAATAATCTACTCGTGTCTGACATCTTGCAAGTTCTTCCCAGGTTCAAGTTATATTTCACTGGTTTATTTTTCCCCGTTTTGTCTTTTTTTTCTTTCTGCATGACTGAGGTTTTATTACAGCGATTGTGCTTTTCTTATTTTTTTCACTCCCTTTCATCCCAACCTTTAAAAATAGTTTCCGAATCTGCTTTTAACTCACTAAGAATATAAAGTGGAACTTTTTCTTTAAACTCTTACATCTTTACTTTGTTGCCATGTTACCTCAGATTTTTAAAAGATCTCAAATTTTGTTGCTGTTGCTGTTTGCTCATTCTTGATAGTGGCCTGTCCTCTTTAATATTGGTGCTTAAAGGTCTGATGGGATAGATTCTAGAATCCATATGAATTGAGAGAGGGAGAGAGGGGCGGAGGAGAGAGATAATCTGAGACAAGGGACTATCTGGCAGCAGAGAACCAGGAAATGCTTCAGCCACATGTATAGCTAGAGGCAGACCTTGGAGCAAGGCAGGTCACCTGTCCTGTTTGGGAGAATGGGGATGTGTTCAAATAACACTATCTGGTAACCGGAGCTGGGGGACATGACTGCATTGGACAGAAGGGCAGACCGTGGACCACTTGCTCCATGTCGGACATCATCGTGTCACCAGTCTGGATCTAAAGGGAGCAGACACAGCATAGACCAGGGAAGAAGCAGAGTGGTATGGAGCACTTGTCAACCCTGTCCTGCCAAAGTCTTATTAAGATCTAGAATGTTTTCAACTCTTATTGTTTACATGAGTAACTGCAGAGAGTTTTCTTATTTATTGATTGATTTATTGAGTTGGTGTCATAGTTATTTTAGTGAGAGGAGGCTTCTAGCATTTCCATTCACTCCACTAACTTCCTGGGACTCATCTTTGAACATTAAAAATATGTATTAAAGATGATGGTCTCGGGGGGTGGAGGGTGGGCAGAGTGGATCCAGCAAGGAGGTCCTATGAAAAGCATCATTATTGTAGATTGCAGAAAAAGATGTAGCTAACTGTGATCGTCTCAGCTTATTTGTGGCAGAGGCTGCTGGTTGCCGGTCTAATATTCTTTCGTCTTGCTAATGGAACTTCAATTTTACTTGGTGCCACGTGCATTTCGCAGTTCCTTACACAGAGGTCTTTGTGTGACACAGTCTTGGCCAATGATATCTAAGGAGACGTCACTGGGTGGAGCTTCCAGAAAGGTTCTTTACAGGGTGCTAACTCGGCGGGATCTACGCCCATCTTTTCCTTGACGGAAACTGACAGACATCACAGTTGGCGCTCTGGCGCACATGCTGAGGGCCTGAGGACAAGGCCTCATCCTAAAGAAGGAGGGGCAGAACCCCAAGTCTTGTTGACCTGGGACTTTGATTGCATTCCTGGGTGTGTTTAAAACACTGCTGCACAACGTCTCTGTTACATGCAGCTGTCATCGATCTCTAACGGATAACACGTCCTGTTACGAGAGTAGAGCCCTCCACTTTCTCTCTGTGCGATAATACTTTCAAATGTCTTTTTCTTATTGCTTGGTTAAAGCCATGTCAAAGTAGACGCTCTCATGGGTCAAGTCGGAAGATCGCTCACGTTCAGTGAGCATCAAAAAATAACAATCGCCATTGGTCTACAAATCAGTTGCAAACTAGGTTTGTCCTCAAAACAAACCTGTACTGTAGGGGAACCCTAGAACAGTCTAGAAGTTTAAAAAAAAAAAAAGTTTCAGTTGTCTACATGGGCATTTGACGCTTTTATTGGACAAACTATCTGGTGATCAGACTCCAGCTTTGGGTAAGACGGCACTTGAGGCCACGGGGTCTCCAGACAGCGCAGGGAAGGGCCCGGGCTCCCGTGAGGTTGTGCATCTGTTGCTATAATTAATATTTGAGAAGAGATCGGGGGCTGAGCAGATTCCTTTGTGTGTGTGTGTGTGGTTGGGTTTTTTTGTTTTGTTTTTTACTAGAATTCTTATCATTGAAATTACTTATAAACTTCCTTGCTTATAATAACATTAGCTCGCATTAGCCGTTCTACAGGGAAATAAGGAAGAAGACAATTGTGCCTCCTTGGGGAGTGATAGATGCTGAAGAGAGAAAAGCTCAAGAAGGAGGCAAAAACGGGGCGGGAAGCAGCAGCAGCAGCAGCAACAGAACCAATCAGAGCCATCCCAAACCACCTGGAGTTTTCTAAGGAGTTTCTTTTGGCTCCAGATTTACATTATAGATGCCTGTGTCTCAAGACAATGAATTCTGTGAGCCACAAACTTTATTAAATCCTGCCCTTCGGCACAGAACAAGTTTAAATAGTATTATTTTTAGTCATTTATTCTAAAACACTTCTAAGTGCCTAATATGTGCCAGGCACTGAAGAAATTATAGCCAAGATTTATGTTCGACTTTAAAAAGGAATTCATTACTTCGCTTTTGAACAGCTGCAGATGGAAGCAGAACTTAATAATGAATTCTGTGCTATCTACCTATCTCTAAAATTTAGTTTGATAACACATAGGAAACTATGATACAGGGCCAATCGCAATCACAAATTTAAACCTCTTTGCCTCCAGACTGCAGTAGAGCTTCCTTTGAAGACTGGATGCCTAATTTTATTAACGAAAGAAAAATAATTACATAAGCCTCGAATCACGAAAACTTAATTTCATATTATAGACACCTAATGGCAGTGTAAACAATGTGTCAGACAATAGAAAGGAACAGAGATATTTTTACTATAACTTCAATACATGATGTGTTGCAAATTACAACTGGAATTTCTGGATTTTATAAAGTAACTTCCATGTTTTGTTTTGGTTGATACTTTTATTTTTAAACATATGCTTTAAAAAAAAAAATTCCAATATACCCATAGCTTTCTGGCAACCAGTCGTATTGTTAATACATCTAGGATCATAAGTTACATAATACCACGAATAATGTAAATTCAGGTTTCACGAAAGTCTGTGAAAGCCTTGGAGAGAACTGATTTGGAAATGAAGGCGAATCTCCACTACTGAGTCTCAGAGCAAAGGAAAGAAACAAGATACTGTTAGACTCACCGTTGCGCGTGGACTTATTAATGATGTCCACGTGCAGAGTCGTCCAACGTCAGGCTTCTCAATTAACTCCAGGTATTGGGAGTGAACAACCCTCTTGCCAAGTGGGGACTTGTTCAGCCGCCTTTATCTTTCCTTATATCACTCATTCAGCCAATTCGCTAAAGCCTGTTTGTTTCTCCCAGGTGCCGCCTAAAGTTTCATTGTTTTGTTTATTGTGCTTGTTGGCTCACAGATCTCTTTCACAATTTTCCTCGGTTGCTGATGGCTCCGAACTACCAGTTTGGATCAGCCCAATTGCGGCTAGTGCTTTAGTAAACGCGTCTCGACTAAAAGAAGGACTTTGGAGAGGAAGATGGCACAGGGCGATAAGGGGAGGGGGGAAGAAAAGGCCCGAGGGAATTCCACCAGGTGCCTGTGTTCCCGCGGAGAACCAGCAGGTGGCAGCAACAGCTCGCGGCAAGGCCCCAGCTGAGCGCTGTAGGACCGGAACAATGGACCCCCAAGCCTGCCCTGGGTTTGAGCAGAGGCTGGGGGTGGCGGACACATCCCTCGTCGCGACGCCTCCGCCGATCCTCAACACCGCCCCCCGCCCCCACCTTCCTTGCAGACGCCCGCTGAGTCCCTTCCGCCGCCTCTCGTCCCTGTAGGGAGTTCTCTCAGGGGAGCGGGCAAGGGAGGCGGCACCCAGAGGTGCAGCGACTTGCCCGGGCCATGCCAAGCCAGGCTCCGACCTCAAGACTTCCCGTCTCAGACCCCGGCTTCCCGGCCCTTCGGGGAGGGTGGAGTCAGAAGCCTCCACGGTGAGATCCAGGGTCACGAAGAGGCAGAAGAGTTTAAGGCTGGATCCGAGACACTTTCAGACGCCCCCTCCCTGCCGCACCCCCACCACCCCCGTACCCCACGAGATGTCTCAGT